TATTTTTTTTTTGTTACACGTTTTAAAATTGTAGATTATTCAATTATGTTTTGATTATTATAATATATTATTTTTTTAAATGAATCTAATATTATTAATAGTACACGATACGATTACGTTATATAATATTATTTAATAATATTGGATATACTATAGGGTAAAATTATAATATATATTTTTTTTTGTTTTTAACGAGATTATATTTTATAGCATCTTGTGAGTAAGTTACCAATATAATTTTATGCGTCTTCGTAATACTGTTGTCTATTATATTTTTTTTTTGTTAATTTTTAGTTTTTAATAATATTATTAAATTTTTAAGATTGTTATTTGAATTTATTGAAGAAAAGCAACTCAAATTTATATATTTTTATTAAGTGTTATGTTTAAATTTTTACTATTATAGTTTTAATAATAATAATATAGTATGTTGTTATACATACATACTATGTCATATTATGTGTGTGTGTTGAAAAATATACAAAAATATACATATATATATATATATATATATATGTATATTATATGCGATTATTAAAATATAACCCAACTTTTTATTTTTTCGTTTATTTGGTACACAACCCGTCGTAAGTTGTATACCACCTGCAGGCTGCAGRTTACGGTTTGTCCAATACATCATATTCTTATTATTATTTTTTTCTCAGTCTTTCTAGTTCAATGAATGGACGTAATGTGATGTTTGTATAATGCACTAMCTGCAGTTGTTTTCACACGATTCAATACGATGTTGATGTCGGGTAGTGACGAAAAAAAAAAGAAAAAAGAAAATAAATAGAAAAAACAGGTTATCTTCTATTTATTTCAAATAAGTCCCGGTGGCGTAGAAAAAGAATTCATATGTAGAAAGAAAAAAATACGCCTGTTTTATAACACCACCACTTTACGGTGACCCGAGTATATATATACATATACATAGCTATAGGTAGATAATCGGTGTAAAGTTACGCGATCTAGTGTTCTATGTACCTATTGTACCCATACCGCAACCATACTGTGTCACACACTTGTTTGCGACGATACAATAATATACTATTATTAAACACTTGCGATCCGTCCAAAAAGAGAGTAAAATACTACAGTTCATGTCTGTGTGAGATCGATACGCAATTTAGTAATCTAAGCGTTATTCTACGAAGTGTGTACAACAGGTGGTCATGTCAGGTATGCTATAGTATAATTACATTCATTCACACAGACACAAACCATTAACGCTCGCCAACTGGGATCGTATATTTAAATGAATGAACTTCATTCCACCTAGCTATAGTCGTTTGATATTAATGTTATAATATACGATAGTTTTCAATCGCCAAACGGTAAGAATAATAATTCTACTTTTTAAATATTTATAGGTATCTTCATATTATAATAACTGTTTGAGATGGACCATCATGAGTCTATATTTATATTATATTATTAAGAGTTTTATGCTTCAATATATATATTATGTATTTGAACTGGGTGCAACTTTTTTTTATAAGCCGATTTTCGTAACGCTTTGCAGCTTTTTACTATAATTAAAACAAAAATCAACAAGAATAATAATAAAAAATTAAATTACTATAGTGGCTTGGTGAGGTGCGGTTGTATGCTCGATCTGCGGAAACACACTGAGGGTGACCAACTGGGTAACCTAGGTGACCAACCGGGATTTTTAGCAATACATATCCTTCCCACACATAAACAAACAAGTGTTACAACACTACCCACTTAAAAACCTACAAACAAATACATAAAAATAACCCCTACCGTACCACCCCACACCCAATGGCCTATGTTGCCGCGGGTTCCCCTTACAAAAAAAATAAAATAAAATAAATTACTATAGCAACATGAATCATACTACTAATTATAGGTATAATTCCTTAACGTTTCCTTGCAAAGGAAGACTATCATCTATCTATACTAGCATGTTACTCCTTTTATTATTTTTATTTATTTAGTTTGGGTTAATCAAAAAAATATACCTGTAAATTTGAATAATATTATTGAAAGTCTGAGAAATTGTCAAYAATTTTCCAAACAGGACRGCTCCCGTTTAATCGATAAATCCCTATTTGTATGTTTCGTGATCTGTATATAAATATTTTGTGCGTGACGAATTAGAGCCAAAAAGCTGAAAACAGWGAAAACTATTATTTTCGGCTATAAAGAAGTTATGTATAATACACTATTATAAAGAACGGTTGTGTATATCAAACAGTGAAAAAGTGCATTTCCGATAAATTGCATATATTTCGCGATAACGGAAATTTCGGATGTCGATTGATTTTATACTAATTWTAACTGATACGTCAACGTAAAGATTGAACCGAAAGTAAAAGAACCGGTTCTTTAAACAACTCAAACCTTTATTTTTTTTTTTTTTTTAAACCGGAACCCGGTCAAGTACAAGAAAATATTCCATGTAAAAATCATAACATGTTGTCAAAATAGCTAACTTCAGAGCCCAATTTCTCTCGTCCGTGATGTGGACTGTGTATRGTCTATTATAATTCTTACTTAATTACACATTTTTACCTTCAGCTACTTGATGTGATCTTATTTTTTATGACATCGATGGATATTTACAACACGTGCGTCAAAAGAACTATACATGTCTTCATGCCAAAACAGAAATGCAAATTACTGGGTGATGTTTTTAACAGAAGACTCATTATTCAGGAGAAAAGAAAAGTCTTATAATAAAATCGTTTACTTAATTTGATTTGATTTGATTTTTTATCATTATCATTTTTTGATCTTTTACATTTTTGAAATGGCGCACACATTTTTMYTTTAATGTATAGGTAGTTAGATTATAACTAAATAATACAAAATTTCACTTTAYCAAGCAGTTGATCTACAAAGTAACATACCAGTTATAATTATAACTTATAAGTCTTATAAATCGAATAATAACTTATAAGTGATTTAAGTTATGATTATTGGGGGTGGAGTGGCAAAGTATGGATATCCTGAAAAATGGTACACTACTCGCACTTTAAAGGTAACTTCTTTGGTGCGAGGAGAGGGTTAATAGTAAAAAAATTTATATTTTTAACGATAATAAACAAAATATAGTTAATTTATCGTTATGAAAAAGTGATTTTTACATAAAAATATAAAATAATGATGTAATTATAGACATGTGAAATAAAATTACGTAAAATAATGAAGGCCAATAATGCGAATAATCTAATAGTTAAAAAAAAAACATTTTCGGTGTGGGTGGTTGGATCCCCTTCCCTCAATGGATACCTGACTTTGAACACCTAATTTCAATAACTACCTACTAACTAATTAACTATTAATTCAAAATTCACTTTTTATGCATAAGTTATTCCAAAAATATACTACCTAAAATGTAAAATATATATTGAAATTCAAAAAAGTAAAACTTAAAAATAATAATGATAGTAAATAATGAAAATTATATATTTTAGGAAAATTCTATTATGACTTCAAATATCATGAAAAGAGAAAATTGATATACATCGATATATTCAATGTCTTGTGTTTGAGATAAAAMATTTTGCTGTGTTTAATACACCGTCTGTCCCAAGAAACAGTGTACACACTTTATCACTCATTACTATGTAAATATCTTTCAATTCTGTTTGTGGGACATTAAACTAGACTGATCGATCATAAATTCCTATGACTTAAATAGTCAACGCAACATACATTATTGAGACCAAATAATTTATGCGTTGAAAAGAATCTTCTTTAATAGTGATTTTATAAATTTAAAATGTTGATCCATATACTTAAAATGATTTCAAATTGTGCGACTCTACAAGAGTATAAATACGCTAAGTATGAATAATGATATAATTAATTCAAAATTATTATTATTGCCCATAATGATGATAATAAACACATGGRTTCACAAAATATACAAGCCACTCCTGTTTATGTATTATTGTCTATAGTGATTTTTAATCCATTTGACTGCTCAGAACCAGAATAGAGTGCAATGACTAGTGTTCAATATCTGCGAGTCGCATCTGTCTTCAATGGTAATAATGTTCTACTAGTTCTTACTACAGTGTTCTTAAAATAAAATCCTTAACATCTATTTATCAAACAATGTTTAACCGGTATTAATTTTTATTGGTTAAATTATCATTTAAATTAATTGCTGTATATACGATTAAAGAAATGTTTACAACTCGTATAGGTAATCTTAATTCTTATATATTATATTTATATATAGTTGTACACTGAATAAACATTTGGATGAATATGTTTTATCGGTCGTTTAGAAAAAATATACAACGTCGTTAAATGTAAATAATCGTGGCCTGTGGAGTAGTAATAATTTTATAATTAAAAGTTAATAAAAATAAAAAATAAAGATAAACACTATAAATATTCAAAAGAATTGTAATTCGATAAAATTGTACTGTATATTATGTCTGCAGACGCATTTCTTATATCATATTTTTACTCGATCCGAAAAACTGATAGRACGCAATTTATTTTTAGTTCTTTCATTTTTTCATCATAAAGGGAATAATATAGGTTAGGTATATGATATTATTATAGATAATCGTTCATTGCTCACTTACTATTGGATGTACATTGTAATGGGTAGTACGTATAAACGCAAGAAAACATTTGAAGTGTCTTAACACGAAGTAATACGACAGTTAAATTCCAGAATTTTAATTTATGAGAAATTGTCAGTAGACATTTTCAGTTATTCAAGAAATTAAATAATTTTAAAATTTTTGATATAACACTTAAAATGATTTCATACAAATTTGTAAATACTATATCTAATAGACAGTGTATTGGTGCATAACGTTAATACTCAATAATCGATCGTATTAGTGTTAGTGATTGAAGTTTTTAGTGATATATCGTAAATTTTAATATCAGTATGTATGTATGATGCGTAGAAAATTTACACAGCACTCATACGCATGATCAAAAATATCTTGCTAACACCAATACTTACAAGTTGCGTGTACTTATATACCATGTGCACATAAACAAATAAACACACACATACATAAAAATWAATTTGATACGTTTTTGTTTATTAAATAGTACCTATAAAGCTTCATTAACACAATATGGTACAATAACGATTATCAGTCTATTTGATTAGATATTTTATAATATTGTCTTGTATTTATTTTGTTTTAGATGTTTACTTCCTTCATCTTTAATGTTTTAATTTTTACTATGYACGACTGTTTGTTTTAATGTATTCGATTGTAATCATCTATATAGCTGCAGATTATTTGATCTGAAAAACAGGCACATATTTATAGTAGAGCGGCGTAAATTTGTTTGTCATTAATGGCAGGTTTTATCATAGGAGGAATTTTTAGTGCATGGTCTGATAGGTTTTGTGTTTCTGGAATTCTGTGGCAATGAAATGTGTATTAAATGTCACTATAATATTACACGATCAGGTCAAACTATAGTGGCTGGGAGGGTCTATATGATTATCAAAACATTGGAGAAAATATACGAGTGAACCACGTATTTATAGTATATACACCTTATACCTACAGTTTTTATTTTTATATATTTTTGTTTAACGAAAAATATGACACTATTTCTGCAACTTTTGTAGTCTAAAAATCATATTGTAAGACAATAATATTGATACAAATAATTGAAATGCAGTGAAATACTGAAGAACGAGTGGACCAGAT